CTGCTTTCCTACAGGCTAGTGGGAAAAAGTCAGGCAAAGAGAGGATGTGTACGCAAAATGCTGTTTGTATCTTCTACAACATAGCAGTGTGTGGTGGGTTTTATTTTGTGGTTTTTTTTTTAATTGAGAGAAAATTAACAGAATACAAAATGAACTGTTTTAAGTGGCATTGAGTATATTCACTTTTGTCTAGTTACATAACATTTTCATCACCCAAAGGGGGAACTCTTGACCTCCAAATCCTTTTCCTGTCCAAAGCTCTGTCATACCTGGCTGTCTTCCCTCCTCAAGCCTTTGTTAGCTACTGTGACACTTGTCTCTCCCTTTGTAGTTTGCATGTCTGTTGTGTTGCATTTATTTTGTATTGATACTATAGTGTTTTGTGGCACCATTATAGAAGCTGTGCATATTCTTGAGGCATGTAAACAAGGGAGCAGGGAGGATGGTTTTTAAAACTAGAATGTAAAATTTGGTTATCATTAAATTATGCTTTACTACTGTAAATTACTGATTATGCGTGATAAGCATGAAGTTAGGTGAATGACTCTGCTCGGTAATTTGTAGGAGCTTCAAGTGGAGAGTCTGTGAAGTAGGAAAAATATGAGGCAGTAAGAAGCACAGGAAGGCCAGCCTGCAGATTCCGCTACCCTGTGTTCAGAACAGAGGGCTTGTGTTCTGGTGTAGGTGAACTGCTATAATCTCGAGGCTTGCCCACTCATGTTATTACTAGGGTCAGGGATGTTATGACAGTGTGTAGCACAGAGCAGACACATGCTACGTGTCAAGTGTTAATGGATTTGAGCCTAAAGCTTGCTTGGCCAGATTTGAATACATAGTGGTGTACAAAGTTACCCAGGAATTTAGCTGCCTCATTCTTTCTCAGTTGGCATGAGCTTCTCCCCTGTCTCTCATCTTCCCTTCCCCACTGAGTAACTATGGCTCTTCTTAGGAGTTGTCATATCACCCCCTTCCACTCTATTTTGATGGGACTCAGCTATCCTAGTAGATAAATTCCTGAAGCTTAGGGGATAGATTTCTGTTTGTACTTGACTATTAGTACTCAGTACATCTCTTTTAAGTAAAAATTGGGTCCCCCAAGAAGACACATTCACTTTCTTGGTCCTATACTCAGTGACATTTAGTGACCATCTACTATATGCCAAAGACATGCTAGATCCCAAGGATGCAAATGTACCCATGCCCAGGAGTGTATCTCAATGACCTTGCAGTAATGAGATGAAACTGTCTCAAAAGAAATGACTGCAAAGCCAGAAAGAAGGCCAGTTGAAGAAAGATTTACTGTGGCAGCTCACAGTTGATAGGCTGACTCTGTGGAGATAGTGTTCAAAGGCATAGTGCTGGAGTTGGGATGCTGCCCACGTGCACAGCTGAGGAATGAACAGTCTGACTCAACAAAACAGCAAATACAAGGGTGGAGTTCACAGGCCTTTCTGTAAAGACCAGGTACTAAGTATGTTAGGTACTGGACCATAGGGTTTCAACACGACTCAGTCGTTGAAGTGTGAAAGCAAATGAGTGGACATGTGTGTGTTTTAATAAAACATTAGTTGGAGACACCAAAAAAATCATTGCTTTCATGTTGTTTGGATAGTAGTCTTTTGATCCCCCTACACCATTTGAAAGTTTAAAAGCTATTCTTTAAAAAATTTTTATTTATGATTTTTATTTTGTGTATGAGTATATTGCCTGAATGTAAGTGCACTTGTGTTGTGCAATGACTGTGGAGGTTAGAAGAGGGTATTGGATTCTCCTGGAACTAGAGTTATGGATGGTTGTTAGCCACGATGTGGGGCCTGGGAATCAAGCCGAGGTCCTCTGTAAGAGCAGTCAGTGCTCTTAACTGCTGAACCATCTCTCTGGCCCCATAAAAGCCATTGTTTGTTTCATTTTTGATACTTTTATTGAGTTTTTGTGCATTTTATATAATACCTCTTAATCAAATTTAGGCTCCTCTCTCCCCTCCCTGCACACCCCCCCCCCAATAACCCTCTACCAGATTTCAGGTATTCTGTCATATATGTTAAGGCCTGTCTGGTATTTCTATCTAGATGTCCCTTGGTGCAAGTTTATCCACTGGAGTCTAGTCAGCCTTAAAGAAGAGCTATTCTCTTCACCTCACAGTAATCATTTGCCAATAGTTCCTTGCCTAGGACTGGGGCCTGGTACTCATTTCTCTGCTCCATGCTGGTTTATTGGTTGAAGTTTAATATAGAAACCCTATCCAGGGACATACACTCTGAAGTCTCATTCTCTAAAACTTAGCTAGTTGTGGCCTTCTATGTGCATCACACTCTTAACTGATAGGCTATACACAAACAGGCATGGTGCTGGATTTGGCCCACAGATGTAGATTGCTGACCCTTATGTAGAAGCAGTGATGTGAGAGACCATCTTATCAGGACAGATGCTAGTACTCAGGTGTACAACTTCTGACCCAATAGGTCTGAGTGGAGGCTGAGGTTCTGCATTTGTGGCATGGTTCTTTCTGATGGTGATATGACTTCTGCACATGGAGGAAAAAAGAATCAAATAAAGAATTGCTGGGGTCTCACTATGCACTGGTGCCATGATAGACTCTGTGGATGTGAGGAAATACAGATGTAATTTTCTGCCTACTAGCCAAGCTATTTAGGGAGAAGAAAGATAAACCCACCCAGAGTAGGAATTGGATAAAGGGAACCAGGCAGTGAGACCCGTCTCAGTGCTGGGTGCAGTGAGTGGTACATGGGCAACAGGGTAGAAGCCACACAAGTCCCTCGCTGAGCTGGGACCAAGCTTATCACTTCCACTCAGTGTCTACTGGGTGCTGCCCATTCTTCTTGCAGTTATTTCTCATTCTGTTTTCTGGAACCTTCATGAGCCCCACTAGCCTGGAATAGAGGCTTTGCTGTGAGTGAAACTTTTGGGTGTGCTGGCTAGTGGGAACGCCCCAGGAGTATAACTGCATGTGGTAACCAGAGAGAACTGAAGCATGGCTGGAGAAGGGCCCCTGCTGCAAGCTCAGGGACAGCATCGTTATCGCAGCTGAGTGGATGGTGAGCTGAAGGGACAGCTAAGAAGGAAAGTTAGACCAGAGGGAAGGGGACATGTTGGCAGTTTAGATGAGTAAATGCTCAGTTTTCTCTAAAGATATTGATGCTCAGAAACTCAACGATACCTGGCACTGTGTAGTGCTGTTGCACTGCAAAGATGCAGTAATGTGCTGTAAGGTGGGTGCTAGAGGAAACCAGAGCAAGATTCTGTGAATTTGTTTCTTTATAGTGTTGAGAAGAAATGACTGGTCTCCAAGCCTGGGTTGGTATGTGATGTCCAAGGAGTACTGACATTCACTCTCATTGTTAATGTTCTGACTCTGTGGTTGGCTCAGAAGTGAATTAGAGACAAATGTAGCAACAGCCAGGGTCTTGGTTTTATAAAAGAACAGTGTGCACTAGGAGAAAAAAATCTATTTTTTTAAATGGCAGGACCCAAATAAAGCTAGCTGGTTGCTTGTGCACAGCAGCAGACAGGCCGTGAGTTGAGCTGTGTGTCATGAGGACCCAAGCACACATTCTGGCTGACCTTTTGCTCAAAAGAGCTATTTGTTAGCGGTTTGCTAAGAATGTTATATGGCATGACAACTGTGAGTGTGTGCATACGTGCACACAGTGGCTTCTAAACCAAATAAACCCTGTGGCAATCTATTACATGAGTGATAGCACAGCAGTTTGCTTGATATTTCTGTGGGGAGTGAGGCCAGGAGTGGTGGCAAGTAGATCTGGATGCTGCCATTCTGTACGGCAAACACTCATCCCTCTTCACAAGCTGCCACATCACCCCAAGTCCTGACTGACTTGGTCTGAGGTAGAATCCAAAACTGATGCTTGCAAAGCTCCCTGCGTGATTATAACATGAAGTCAGGGCTGAGATCTCTGTGGCAATGTGCTGGATAAACCAGTAAAAATCTCTCCTTGTGTAACCACTTAGCAAGAATCATCATGTTCTTCCCTGCTAGGACTAGATCAGGTTAAATGACTTTATTTACAGGACAGTGACTGGGAGATAATGAAAATTCTGGTAATGTTTACGGCTTAAAGAATGCTCAAGTAACTGTTACTGGTTAATAACTCAAGATGCTCATATTAGTTTTGTGTCACTGTGACAGAAGCCTTGAGAGAAACAACCTGAGAGAGGATATGTTTGCAGTCATCCTGGTGAGGAAGGCATATCAAAGCAGCTCACATCATATGGTAGGAGTGTGGGGCACAGGCTGCTTATGTCATGCTTACATCAGAAGTCAACAAAATAGTGGCCAGAACCAGGGGCTAGGCATAACCTTCAAAGCCCCCCCAAGTGGCTTGCTTCAGCTAGGCCAAGCACCTAAAGGTTCCACAGCCTCCTCAAATAGCACCACCACTGGGTCACAGAAACACTTAAAACATTAGCTTGTGGGGGGGGGGTTCAGATTCAAGCCATTAACAGTACTTAAGGATGGCTTTGGTTTGTTGACCACTTTTACTTCTGTAAGAAAGTAACTTTAACTTTGAATACAGAATATCAGAGCAAGTTATTCCAACTGTGAAGATTGGCTATGCTCTTTCCAATTTTGCCCATGTTGTTATGTTGCTTATAGCATGCTGTTTTGCACCTCCTTTTAACAGGATGGTGTAAAACTCTCATAGTTACAACCAACTTTATGTTGGCAGTCTCCCTGGCAGAATTTTAATTTCACTCCTGTATGTTCTATGATTGAGAGAGGGCTGTTTAAAATTAATTCTATGAAGTATTTATTATTCACAGTACTGGATCACCTTATGTTTGAAAGGGCAATGGTATACAATGGTATACAGCAATTGCTTTAAACTTTTCTCCGACAAGCTTCTTATAGACAGTGATATATGTTAGAGACCTGGATGCTTTGTCTTGTATCTGAGTTTCTTTCTTTCTTTCTTTTTTTTTTTTTTTTTTTTTTTTTTTTTTTTTTTTCTTTCACCTTTCAGTACACAAGGGTCTGGATCCCTGACTCAGATGAAGTGTGGCGCTCAGCCGAATTAACCGAGGACTACAAAGAGGGAGAGAAGGTCCTGCACCTCAAACTGGAAGATGAGACTGTAAGTACTGGGGACCTGAGGTGCATCCTGATTGGGACTTGATGGTATGTTGTAGGCTTAGGTGCTTCTGCCCCTTGTAGCTTCTGAGCCTCTAGATTCTTTCTATGATGGCTTATGATAATGTACCTGAAAGTGCTAAACCATGATGCTGCTCCTTGGGTGTCCCTAAGAAGTGAGCCTGCTCGGGTGAGCAGCTGGGTGATCACTGGTAGTTGAGACCAGAATCTTTTTGTTGGACTTGGGAAAACGGGTCTTCTGAGTGTTAAGGCATCAGCAGGAGGGGAAGTTTCACAAGAGATAGTGCAGGTAGAGGTAGTGTGGGCTCTGGAGCCAGCATGCCTGGGTTGGGTTCCTGGCTGGGCCATTACCAGCTTTGTGGCCTCGGGTAGCTTAACAGTTTTTCTGTGCCTGTTACTTCCTTTGCAAAATGGGATACTGGTTTACTTAGAGCTGTTTCAAGAAGAAACCCAGTGAAGCTGTGGCACATAGTACAGTGGTACCTGGCATATAGGCTTTTCCTATGTAGTAGCTACTGTGGTGGGCAGCCATTCACATCACCTACCTCCAATGGAGACAAGGTTGTAATTATGAAAAGTGAGAGGCACGATACAGCTTCTTTTACCCTGAGCTTCTGTGATTTGTGTATTTCACATGTTATTTTAATGCTGGCTCTGGTACTGGGTACTGTGTTGAGTCAGGAAGAGATGGACAAACAGTTATGACCTCACATTTCTGGGGAGGTCAGGCCTGGAGGGACAGTAAGCATGAAATAGAAGTGAGGCAGGGTGTTAGGCTTGACACATGGCAGAAGCTTCAGGAGCAAATGGATGAACTGTCGGAAGCCAACGGCAGAACCTTCTGAGGCAAGGCTGCTCTGAGGGGCCAGGCTTCCAGGGAGGATGTGAAGGGAGCCAGCCTCTGGAGAGTCAGGGTTCAGTGCGCCGAGAGTGGGGCCTAGGCCTACAGGAACTGTGGGTGCCCGATGCCCGAGACCCCAGTGTTCCCTTTGGACATGTACAAGGGAAGAAAGGGAGGCCAGTGCACTTAGGACCTAGGTGGCCTGAGATGGAGAGCGTGGACAGTCTTTCATACAGGGTATACAATGAGGAGACAGGGAGAGACACAGGTTTAAAACAAAGTGGTGGGTAGGCATGAAGAGCCAGCCTTGGGATAGATTGGGTTGCAGAGCAGGCAGGGCTTAGGTGGAAAGTTTGTGTTGGGATAGTTTACTACCTCCCTCTTGACTCCAGGGTGTGAAACATCTGTATCATGTCCTTTAGCTGTGAATTATTAACTGTCTTGCCATTGTTCATTCTTTAAAGCTTTTTGGTCTGGTTCTCATTCAAAATGATCAATTGAACAACTTGATTGAACATTATCCCACCACTAGCCTCAAACATATGAACTTGAGTGTGTCACTTGGTAAAGTTGGGGCAGGACAGTGAGTTGGTTAGGTGTGTCCTTCACCTTCTAGCTGACAGGTAGGCTTTAGTAGCCTTCTCTTGTTTTTTGAGGGAAGAAACATAACTGTTAGATGGAATCTTGTTTATCGTGTTGAATAACTTCCCACCCCATACCCGAAACAAAGTGAAATTAGTCCACCCACTTGGTGTGTCCTCTACTCCAACAGATTTCATTTCAGTTGGTCTTTTCAAGTGGGTGGGTGTTTTTAAAAGTTGTATGGAGGCAGTGAAGAATGATCTGTCATGTTGCTAAAACAGAGCAGCTGCTTGCATCCCTGGTTGCACACAGATTTGGCCCTACATGACAAATCCTGGCAGCTGCCCGTGGTCTATCTCTACCTCTCCAGTTATAAGACTAGTCACTGTGAAGGCAGAAGAAAGCCTGGGACTGGAGATCAGCAACTTTGGAGAATCAACAGGCTCTGAGCATGAGCGTCTCTCTTTCCTGGATGGCCATGGGCTGTGGCTTGCCAGCAGCTGAGAATAACTGGACACTGTGCACTGGAGGCTGGAGCACAGATGCTGCATGGCTGGTTGTTGAATGCTTGATGAGCTCCTCCTTCAAAGCAGAAACCATCCTATGGTGCCAGGCTGGTGGACTTCCCCAGCCCCAAAGTAAGATAGTGTTGATCTCAGTGCAGTAGCAAAGGGCAAAGTGGCAAAGTCAGAGTCTTTGCTAGAAAAGCAACCTTCGCAACTGCAGGTCCACAGCAGGACCTTGTACTTTTCTCCCTGTTGTCTCCTTTGATAAGGTGCAGGAATCTCCTCATTCCTCTAAGATATCTCCTCCTGCTTTTGCTTATGTATTTATTTTGACCTAAACTTTACTGCGTGAACCATTTTAAGTGTATAGTTCAGTGTCATTTGCACTACCTTACAACCATCACCTTATTCCTTTACCATATGGTCAAACTGAAACTGTTCCCATTGAGCAATAACTTTCCAACCTCAGTCTCCTGACCACTTGCCATCAGGCCCCAAATACCACCATTCTACTTTCCGTCTCTGACTTTGACTATACTAGGTACGTCATAGGATCATGTGGTATTTGTTGTCTGGCTTGTGTCACCTAGTATTCTGCAAGATGTTTTACAGTCAGTGAGAAGATGCTTACTTCTTGGGAGAAAAGGATTGTGTCCATCTGTTCAGTTTTCTCCCTAGAGCCCAAACAAGTGTAAGCTGCGGTGTGTTAACCCTCAGTCTGGTGCTCAGCTTTTAAACTGTGTGGGGCATTTTCATAGATATACAGAACTCTGTATGGGTCAGGCTGGCTCTCCTAGCCTCACTTCTGTTGCAGACTGCTCCACTTCTGCCTTCTACTGGCAGGGGAAAACTTTCCCTGCTATTGTGTTTTTGCTTTTCTTTCCTATTTCCAACTAAGTTTGAATAAATTGCCTAGCAGCCTCCTTAGTGAGTGCTCCCTGTGAGCAAGATCCTGACCTCATGTTTGTGAGTGTGAGGCTGCAGTGGAAAGATGGGTTTTGCAGAGGGTAGCCTGCTCTCCATACATTGCAGTGAGTCTGAGCCTACCTAAGTGGGGTTGTGGTGAGACAATGTAAGCCTGCATCTGTTTAGTTACCAAAAGTGCTTAAATTGGGAATTGTTATTACTTTGAAGGTTTAAATCACTATTAAAAACTAAAGCTATTTGCAACTCTATTCAACCTCCACTGTGCTGCCTTGTACAAGAAAGCAGCGTCTTTGCTCTAGATGTATTATGTACACACCTCTGTAGGAGCACATTTGAGAGCAGTGTGGCTTGTTCAGCCTTGCTGGACATTCCTCATCTGTCATGTTGCAGTGGTTGCAAATATTGGGCGAACCCCTCTGGAACCACAATTAACTGTGATCGTTGGACACCGGTAGCAGTGTTCAATTCAAATTGCTGTTGTCAATGACAAAAAAAATAGTTTAAGTCTCCCCTTTCTTTTACCCCCTGAATGTCCACAGGCCGAGAGATCCCGGCCGTGGAGTGCTGAGCTTGCAGTTCTCAGCTCTTTTCTGCTGTGCAAGGCAGCTTTGCTCCTTATCAATTTTTCTGTAACCAATACCACTGCTTGTTTATGGATATATTTTCACAAAATTGCATATGTGATTGTGTCTACCTGCTTGGGAAGGTCTTCTGGGAGAAGATTTATCTTCAAAAAGATGGAAAGTCAGTGTTTCTACCCTGGGATGTAAAGACCTTGGACTGAGTTTGAAACTTTCCATTTTGAAAAATTGAAAGGCCAGGTGGTATAAGTGCTCTGGGAGGGGAGTCCAGCAGAGTCTCAATGATACCACTAACTCAGCAGAAGAAAGAGGCTCTACTGAAGTTTGGGTCTTGAATGTACCATAAAGGCACATGTGTTGAAGGCTGGCTGCCCCCACTGAGAAGCAGTAAAACCTTTAGCAGAGTCTGTTAGAAGGAAGGGTGTTCTCCTGGGACATGCCCTCAGAGGAGATAGGTGATCCTGGCCCCTTGTTCTCTCTCTATGCTTCCTGGCTGTCATGAGGTAAACACCTTGGCTCTGCCACTCGTTCCCTGACATGAGGTTCTGCCTTGCTATAGGTCCAAAAGGAATGGAGCCAAACAACCATGAATCAAAACTTCCAGAATTCTGAGCCAAAACAAGCCATTTCTCCTTAGAAGTTGATTATCAAATATTATCAAATATTTTGCTCACTAATAGAAATTTAATGAGAATTCAGAATTTTATTTTTTGAGACAAGGTCTCCCTCTATCCCCAGATGTCTTGGATCTTACTATGTAGACAAGCATGTCCTGGAACTCACAGAGATCCACCTGCTTCTGCCCTCCCAAGTGCTGGGATTAAAGGTGTATGCCACCATGCTCAGCCTCAGTCTCCAGAATTTCAGGAACTGAAAATCAACCCTCAGCATTGGCCATTTCCCTTGTTCTTACTTTCTGGGATGTTTGTCTTCCTCATCCCGTGGTAGTTTACAATTTGAAGAAAATTCACTGCACAAGCTTAAAAGACAGAAAAGGACATTGATAAATGTGCAAAAGAAAAACCAGACACTCCACACACACAAATCACAACAGGGATAATAAATGATATTTTGAGGCACATCATTCTAAACAGACTTGTATTAACTAATTTGTTCTGTAACTTTTTAAATTCAGAATTCTGTGGGCAGCAGTCTGACCATCCATATAGGTCTGTTACTTTTTACCTTCACTATTTTTAACTTTCCTGAGTCTGTATCTTGGCTCACTTGCCATGAAAGGAGAGTGTATTAAGGGAAGATTCTGAATTTGTGTTACCTGGTGCTCTCCAGAGAGATGGGTGTAGTGTCATCCATGTGTGGGTGTGCCTTTCTGCCCTCATTCTTCCTGTGAGAGGCTTGGCTGTGTCTACAGGCTGTAGCTTATATGATGGGTAACATTAGAGCTAAAGGATTCTTTTCTTTCTAAGACAGGGCTCTTGTTATGTAGGTACAGATAGACTTTGAACTTAGAATCCTCCTGTCTCTTCATTCTGAAGAGTGTTGAGATTACAGGCATGCAGGACCCTACCTGGCTTACTCTGAAGTCTTTGGATACTGGCCAGGTTGAATAGTTTTTTACATGTCATCTGTTTGTTGATTATTTTGTGATTTGTTCCTGCATTCAACTTTTTGTTAGAATATTCTTGGCTTAAAAAAAAAAAAAAAACCTATGGAGCTGGGAGTGGTGGTACATGCCTTTAATCCCAGCACTTGGGAGGCAGAGGCAGGCAGATCTTTGTTTACATAGTTCCAGGCCAGCTGGGGCTATAGGGAGACCCTGTCTCAAAAAGACAAAACAAAACAAAACAAAAAAAACCCTGTGGATAATAATAGTGTGTCATTTGCCGTATAATGTAGAATCTGTCCCATTATCCAGTTTGACTTTGAAAATTGTATGGTTTGTGGCAGTTTTAAAGTTCATTGTAGTCAACTTAGGTGTAATTTTCTGTGTTTCTGGCTTTGCATCCTTCAGAGGGCCACTTTCCGAAAATGTAAAATGTCTGCTTATTTTTCTTCATCTCGGCTTCATTTTTCTTAGTTCCTCTTAAAATTTGCTAGTTTGAGTGAGAGTAGAATTCTGACTCAATTTTTTTTTTCCCTGACCAAAAACCCAGTTTACCTACCAATACTATGTGAAAAGTTCCTTTTGTCCATTTATTTGCAATCTTAATGTTATGTACAAATTTGCCTTGTGTGCTTGCATTTGACTAAGATCACTTGTTATATTTTGTTTATCGCTTGTTTTAGCATCAGTAGCCATAGTACTTTAATTGGTGGTTCTTTAGTACATCTTATGATTGGTAATACAAGTCCCTCTGAAAGCGGAGCATAGGGAACATTGATGTATTTTCTTAGAAATTGACTATTATAGCCAGAGATGATGGTACATCCCTGTAATCACAGCACTTGGAAGATTGAGGCAGGAGGATCAGGAGTTCAAGGCCAGCCTCAGTTACATAGTAAATTCAAGGTCAGCCTGGGCTCCGTGAAACCCTGTCCCAAAAAAGAAAGAAAGAAAGAAAGAAAAAAATCGCAAACACATACACGGAAGGAAGGATGAGAAACAAAGAAAAGGAAAAGAGAGTAAAGAAATTGACCATTATTCCAGTAAATTTAGGCAGTATCTGTGGAATTTCCTAAGTAGGTTTTTAGAGAATAGCATTTCTTAAAATATGCAAGCCATGAATATATATACACACATATATATGTATATATTAAAATTAGGTATATATTAAAATTAATTGAGTATTTTTTAAATTTCAGCTTTTCAGAAGCTCTGTAGAGTTTCTGAAATGAAATTGGGCTCAGAAAATGGTTTTTACAAGGTTCCCTGCTGATTCTTAACTTTGTAAGAAAATTACCTCTGAGTAAAACCTGATAAGCAGTAACCAAGTCCCTCTTGTTTATATGTTTAAAAACTGCACCTCCAAACCACCTTTATTTAATAAATTACCTATTCATGCCCATGTGTTCTGTCAAACATTTTTGAATGCTGGTCCAAATGCTATACCAAGCAAGAATCCAAGACTGACGTCCTGAGCCTGAGATTTGACCCTAAGACAAACAATCCCACTCTCTGATTATACATGCTGTACTTCACCAAAGCAGAGCTGTTGCCCCAGAACTTGCAGGTAGGTTGTGGAGTGAGGGATCCATGTGCAAATAGTAAAGCATGAGGCTGTTTACAGAGAGCAACACATCAGCTGTAAGATACCCCAAGTGAGAAAGGAGTATATGCGCTACAGGGGGACAGAGCTAGTAAAGAAACAGCTGCAGAAGAGGCAACCAATCAAGGGATGTCTCCTAGTGGGAAGGAAGCGCCCTCCTATGTTAGCTGGAATTAAAAGCCCAGTGTTTACTTCATTAAGAAGCAGGTGAACACTCCTGCATCTAGTTGTGCTTCCCATATTTCTTCTATCTTTATGTTTGATACAATGGCATTATGTAATCAACATGTCTTCTACCAGGCCTCATCTCTCATGGGAACCATGAGTGTTTCATTCCTCTTGCCTTTCTTTAGAACATTACTTATCTTTATGTCTTATGGTTATGCTAGGATAATGATCCCAGCCAAGAAGATAGGACATTGAATATAGGCTAAATGCTTCCTAACTGTGCCCTTTTGTGTCTGCTGCTTGCCTGTCATTAGATTCAGGAGTATCCAGTTGATGTCCAAAACAACCAGCTGCCCTTCTTGCGGAATCCAGATATCTTAGTAGGAGAAAATGACCTCACTGCCCTGAGCTATCTCCATGAGCCTGCAGTTCTGCATAACCTGAAGGTCCGTTTCCTCGAGTCCAACCATATCTATACTTACTGTGGTAAGTGAGGGTACAAGTTGAATGTGTGTTTGCAAGTGATCATTATCTTGCAAACTCAAATATTAACAATCATGACTCTAGTCCCATGTGTATATACTTCTCATCTGAGCTCTTCCTAAGGTTTATAGACAGTGAGATACCTGGTGTTAATAACAGTTCAGCTAGGGAAGAAATGGCCATAGCTGTTGAGGTGGTTGGTCTAGGCTCTTCCATGGGGTTGCTGGAAAATAGTAAGTCCATCATGGTGCCCTGAGCCTGAGGCATGCCCTCATCACGAATACACACCCACACACATGAACCTGGCTTGTGCCTTCTGCTTAAGAGGGTTGTCTTCCTCCCAATGTTCTCACTGCCCAGGTACAAACATGATCCTTGAAGACTTTTTTTTCAATTAATGAGCAAAATCTATAACAAATGCTTAAAACAGAAAGTCCTGAAATTATCATTTTGCTTGAAACTTCTTTTTGAGTAGTACAAACTTTGGATTCTGTCTCCCCTTCCCCCTTAATATTATTAAGTAGTGTAGTAAAAACAGAACCCTCTTAGCTGTTGTTTGAGGGAACAACTGAGGGTCTGATGGGGAGCCAGGCTGTGGGTGGGATGTCTGTGGGTGTTTTCCTGGCAGAGCCTGATCTTACTTGTGATCACTGTGATATCTCAGATGCCCAGTTGGATTTGGAGATTGGCTATTCGAGTGGTAGGCTAGGCTGAGCTGCTTTGCCAGGTTTTACAAAAACTTCACCCCAACTGGTAGAGGAATTAATTCAAAAGAAATAACATTGTCAGAAACTTCAGTAAGACCTTTTAACAATAAGATTTAGCAAATCTCCCTTTTTAGGAGAAGAGGCTAAATGACATCAGTTATCCAGTCTCAAGGGATCCCTGCAAGCATCACCCTAGTGTCTGTACCGACCAGACATTCCTCAACTGTTCCAGTGTCATTCAGGCTATTCACGGTACCCAACACTAACCAGACTTGCAGTTGTCAGGAAAGCACTTCTCTCTGCTCTGGAGAGGCTAGAGTGTTTTAGGAAAAGAGGTGACCACAGGATGTGAGATTAAAATTTCAGCTCAACGTCACATGAGTTAAATTGAACAACTCTGAAAACCAGAAGAGCATGTGTGGCTGTTCCTAAGAGGATTCTACAAGTGATTAGCCTCATTAGTGGAATTTCTCAGGGTTCTGGTCCTATGTTTTGGTCCAGGCAAATTCCTGCTGTAAGAAGACTTAGATGTGTCCCTTCTCCCCAGGCCCTTACCCTTTCACTTGGAGTTATAGTTCAGGTTCCTGTATCTCCTGATTGCCAGGAGGGAACACAGTAGAAGACTTACTTGGCGGGGGCCCTTCCCATTTTTGCATCCTCTGTCCCAGATGTGTTAGTTACTTCTCTGTTGCTGTAATAAAACACCATGACCAAGGCAACTTATAGAAGGAAGAGTTTATTGGGCTTACAGTTCCAGAGGAATAAGAGTCCATCATGGCAGGGGGAGTATGATGGCAGAGGTAGCCAGAGCAGCAAACCAAGTACTCACATCTTCAGGCAGGCACAGGAAACAGGGTAAGATGGACTGGAAGTAGGACGTAGCTTTGAACTATCAAAGCCTGCCCCCAGTGACATGCTTCCTCCAGCATGGCCACATCTCCTAAAGGTTTCATGACCCTCCCCAAATAGCATCATGAACTTGGGACCAATTCTCCAAATACTTGGAGTGTATGGGGAACACTTATTCAAACTGGGTGACTGGAAATAATCTGTTTCTATACTTAAACTCTAGGTCTTTGGATATATTGGATACAATCTCATGGAAAGGAAAAAAAAGTCATATTTCTGTCATGTCTTTAAGATGGAATTTACTTTTTTTCCTTTGTACATTCTCAAATATCAATTTGCCTTACCTATCTATAAAAGATGTCTTAAACCTTATAGGATTTCCTCCTTGCTAAGTCAGCATGTTTGAATCCATCATTGCAATGTATCCTTTGGAGAACAGATAGAAAGATATGAGGGGTGCTCTAATTAAAAGAAAAAACAGAAGTTCCTTTGCAAGACTCTGTTCTGAGTGTACCTTCTCTCCGCTGGTCGTGTTCTTCTTAGGACATTCCAGGTCAGTGCATTTGTTATCCCCACTTTATAGTATAGACAACCGAGGTACTCAGAGATTAAACAGGTGTCCAGTTCACACAGTTAGTCATTGATTGAGCCAGCATTACACCTTAAGATAGGTAAATTGTGCTTTCCACAAGTTTGTGTTTTAGTTTAAATAGCTCATATAAATGAGGGAAAAAAAAATCTCTTTTCCAGGCTTTAATTCTTAGGTAGGGTTTTTAATTCTCTCTAATATCTATTAGCAGAGTTAACTCTCTTATCTCTGATCCTGCAGCACTTTGCATCTATTTTATAAATTCAGCTCTTGAGTATTTGTGAGAATGTCTGTAGTATTCCTCTAGGACAGCCTGAAGCCTGACGGTCTTTTTCATTCTGTTCTTCTCCAGGGCCAAGCACAGAAGTTCACAGACTCATCTTTATTTAGTTGAGTTGTAAAGACTCCTAGCCTCTTATTCTTCAGTTGTAATGCATGAGAACAGGGCGTAGGCTAATACTATATAGCCATTGTGCTGTCAAAATCCGACTGTCTCCTCTGTTTACAGGTATTGTGCTTGTTGCCATTAATCCATACGAGCAGTTACCAATCTATGGACAAGATGTCATCTATGCCTACAGTGGCCAAAACATGGGTGACATGGACCCCCACATCTTTGCTGTGGCAGAAGAAGCCTACAAGCAGATGGCCAGGTGAGTACAACCTCAGCCCTGACAGTGGGGCGTGAAGAGGATTTTTGAATTGCCTTTTGCTGCTGTTGCAGCTCTGGTTGTTTCCTACCTCAGTTCTTCATCTCTTTCATTCATGTGTTGCTGGAGAACAGTGGTCCTTAGATTGATTTTGGGATTTGATTAATGGAATAACTCTCCTGCTTTTAACTCTCCTTGACTGCTTCCTGGCCAGTTTTCTTCCTTTGCTAGTATAACAGACCCATCCTGTGCCATCTCCATTTCATGCATCCCAATCCACATTCTTCCACAGAAAACTCTTTTAAAGAAGGACTCCTTGCCATTGTTGGGGTGGCAAGCATTGGAGTAGAAATCAGAATTTTACATAAGTAGGCATGCACAATACCTTTCAGTGTTTAGCCTGGAGGTGAAATTCTGTTTGGGTTCTTATGTAAACCCTCTCATTATGTTTTTCAGTTATGAATGACCATCTGAGAGTAGGCTTGTGATGATCTTACACTATTCAGGCCCACAGGAGAGGAAGATAGTTTTATTAGTGCCTGGGAAAATATATATCCCAGATTATATTAAAGTGCTGGAGACTTTCAGACTGAATATTCCTTGCCACTCTAGGAGTGTCTTCATAGAGCAACATACATTGCAAATTCTGCTGGGAAGATGGGCACTGAGTGAGGCTAATAAGGGGTGGATGATTTTGTAGGAGGAGCATCTTACTTACGGGGTCTGTACTTCAGGGAATTTCAGAGTATAATTTTTAGCCCAATGAAATCTCCCAGAGCTCTTACAGGCTTCCTTTCTGATTTATAATGTTTCTATAGGTTGTATAAATCAGCATACAAAGTTTCCTTCATTAGAGATATGTAGTGACTATACCCAATCATTCTAAATGGTTAGAGAGCTAAGAAATCTAATGAACAATGATATGCAACTATTTCTCCAAAATGTAGTGATTGCCACTTTTGCCCTGTCTAATGCAATAAGACAGACAATGCACTTTATTCATCCTCCAGGATTTGACACAGGAGTCCCTTAGCTTGGCCACCTTATTGACAGCTGGTATGGGGAGAACAGTGGGTGCCAGTGTGTTAGCCCGCACACAGCCCTGTTGGGTGTCAGTGTGGAACACTTGTATGTGGCGCAGTGGAGAGAGGCCTGGGGACTGGCCAGGGTTCCATGCTTGGGAGGATTACTTTACCTGAGTCTTCATTTGCTTTGTATGTGGGCGATGAGTGTCCCTCCTCTTCTGAAGGATTATTCTCTGTGGCTGTAAACAGAAGGTGGGTTCTATGGGATTGAAGAGTGACTCCCGTGTGTAGAGTCATTGGCACTGGATTGTTTTTCATCCTAGTCTGTTAGCCATTCACATTTACATATGCCAGAAGTTACAGCTCTTCATCAGGGGTTTCTTGGGACACCCCTACCAACTCAAGGTTTGAAAGACTATTAGTCTCTGGCTTTATCTCCCTGACCTAGTTTGTTTCTCCATTGCTTTGACAAAACACTCTGACCAATACCAACTTGGGGAAAAAAAGGTTTATTTGACTTACATCTCCCAGGTCACAGTTTATCAGGGAGCCCAAGGTAGGAGGAATTCAGGGCAGGAACCTGGAGGCAGGAGCTGGAGCACAGGCCATGGAGGAATGCTGCTTACTGGCTTGCTTCCCTGGCCCATGCTCAGCCTGCTTTCTTATGCAACATAGGCCTACCTGCCCAGGGGTGGCACCACCCACAGTGGGCTGGGCCCTCTCACATCACTCAATAATCAAGAAGATACCCCACAGGCATGGCCACAGGTCAGTCCAATGGAGACAATTCACCAGTTGAGGCTCCCTCTACCCAGCTGTGTCAAGCTATCCAGCACACTCTTGATAGGTCCATTTGAAATGTCTCTCATCTTCCCTCCATTCCTGACACTAGGCCTATGGTTACACTACACTTAAGTTATTTTACTTGTTTGGGATCGTGCTTATACCCATTGGAGAGACTGGAGTATGTGGGAGCCACGGGTGACGGTGGTGATACTACTTGCCCAGGGTACTGAACTTGATGAGTAAGTGGATGATGTTTAAAGTGGGGCCAGAGTTTGCTTTTTTAAAGAATTTTAATGTTTATACGCATTATACCACTGGGTCCCATATTGGGGCCAAATAATTTCACAGAAGTTTCTGTGCAGTATTTGCTTATTAGCCTGCGTTAGAAGCATGAACCCCAGTGTATCCAGCTACAGGAAAGTGCTCTCTGAATTAGTTTTGTTTTCTAGCAGCTCAATTAGACTCAGACTTTGTAATTCTTTCACTGGAGATGGATTTTCTTTCTTACTGTGGCTCACACATGGACTGGACTCTGGATGCTTTGAGAGAGGGGAGACTATTAAAGTCTGCATGGCTTTATGCAGAGCCCCCTGGGGGTTGTTGCTATAATGCTACCAGAGAGAAGAGGGGGCACCAATAAGAGAAGAGGATTGGGTCACTTGTCCCTATCATGTTCTTTATGTCTAACAAGAGTAAACATGGATTTCCAGAAAAGGAAAAGGTTATAATAGTGTGAAATAACATAGGCATGAATTCTTCCTCCATGTAAGAACCATTAGTTCCTGTAGGGAAGGGAACTGACCTCTGCCACTTAGCTCTGTACTCACTACTCTTCTTCTTGGTTCAAGACCCCAAATGCCCTTGGCTTCAGTTTTACCAGCCTCTGCTCCTACCTTGAATTATGTCAGTAAATGGTTATGGTATATCATTTATATGATGAGCTCTAGGAGTATGCCAAGGAATGTAAGACTTTACCCCCCTCCCCCTTTCTGAGGAGCTCACTCTCTGGAAGGAAGACATAGGAAATCCAAAAACTCTTAACTGAAGTAATTATAAATAGAAACTGCCAGTGCCACTTTAATCAAGTTTTGAGATAATGTTGTAGATGGCCTAAGAAAACTAGACCTTGAAGAATCGCTCAGATACAGGGAGCCATGTGGGTGAAATAGCACAGCCTTCATCTCAAAGTGGAAGGGGACATCAGACAAGATGGTCACAAAATTGCTGAGATGCTGCGATTAAAGAAGAGGTAACAGTGAGGATGTGGAGAGATTAGAACTGCTATACACTGCTTGTGGAAGTGTGGCTTGGTGCAGCCACTTGGCATAATGGTCTGGCAGTTCTTCAGAAAGTTCCCATGTGGTCTAACAATTCCACTTTTTGGTATATCCCCAAGGAAATAACATTTAGCCCAAGATATATAAATCAATAGGTGAAAACAACTTAAATGTTATCACTTGGTGAATGGATAATCAAAATAGAGACTATCCACATGATGAAACACTATTTGGCTATAACTGGAATACATGTTACCATGTTGATGAGCCTTGAAAACATGGTAAGTGAAAGAACAGAGACACAAAAGGCCACATCTTGGATGATTCCACTGATGTGAAATATCAAGAGTCAGTAAATGTAAATGGAAAGCAGATTACTTGTTTTGTAATGCATATATATGCATGTGTGTGCACATGTGTGTGGAGGCCAGAGGTTGACATCGGGTGTCTTCCTCCATCACTTCTCCACCTTACTTTTTGAAGTAGAGTCTCACAGAGTTTGGAACTCAATGGTTTGGCTAGTCTGGCTGGCCAGTAAACCCTGGGCATCCTCCCATCTCTACCTCCTCAGTGCTGGGATTACAGGAGCATGCTACAATGCCCACGTTTTTATGTGCGTTCTTGGGATCTTAACTCACACCCTCATGCTTACACGTTACTGACCAAGCTATGTTCCCAGCCCAATTAGTGGTTTTCTGGGGTTTGCAGTTTGGGGGGAAATGGAGAGTGATTTTATCTGTGTGGATGCTGTGAGTGTTGGGGAGGGGAGGTGAAAATGTTCTAGAATTGGTGATGGTGATGAACAGCTCTCCAGACGTGCTAACACTTCTTGAGTCACACACTTTAATTGGGTGAGTTATATTTTGTAGCATATTAACAAAGCTATTATAAATGCAAGGCACGGTCAGGACACAGTATATGTTTCATGTTTCTTGTGATCTGTACAGAGTTGTGAGTTCTAGGGATAAAGTGAGGCCAGACTACAGAGGACTTTGACCACTGGAGTAAACTTTGGGAAAGAAGTGTATTCTATTAACAGAGGTGCAAAGATGATGAGATGATTTGGGGAAATGCTGCGTTAATCGGGCTGAACATCTTCAAGGCAGAGCTTCTCAGAGCCTTTATGGCATGCATTCTCAGTCTCTACCATGGGGCTGCATTAAGCTGGGTTTACAAATCACATTTAGGCACAAAACTATTTTCAAAGATTATCTCAAGGGACTAATGTTCTGTGCAACATTGTTTGGAAAATACTGGCCTAGAGCAATGGGGACATTTTAGTTTATTGGATAAGAACATAATATGATGCAAGAGATGTTCAAAAAGTATTTTTTTCTCTGATGGGTCTTATTTCATAATGATCTTTTCCTTCTCCATCACTGTACCATTTCCAAGAATAGGAATATTTTCTTGAGGAAAGATTAGTTTGTTGTAGAAATAACTTTTATTGTAAGCAACTTATCTGCGTATAATGAATGGATAGCAGAGAATTCAAAATCGAGAGACTGGCACAGTATTGTTTCTCTATTCACCCACTCTTTACCCCAGGACATATGATTGTTGCTTAAGAAAGAGCAGATAATTGACGCATTAATGTATGTATTTCTCACAGTTGCTACATGAAATTAGTTATCCCTGTGATGCTGGTCTGGACTCCAGACAGTTCTCTAAGGTTTTGATTGAATTCAGGTAGATGAAGATGAAACCCAAACCCACTGAGTTTGCCTAGAGCCTCTTGCATTAGCCAGAAAGCTTGCCACCTCCTTGAATGCCCATTGACTATCCCCATATGCTTGCTAGAACAGAGCAGACTCTGGTCCCCAAGGCCTCACCGAGGGTCTAAAACTAGAGTGGTTTCTCAGATTCAGTGGTAGGTTTAGAGTTCAGTGTATTTCCTAGTCTTGTTGATGGGGAT